TTCAACTGAAGAAAATTCTTAAACATCCAGTTTTCTGTATCCTTAATGGGAGCTGACATGCAGATTTGTCTGTAAGGTATGAATTGTGGGTTTTATTTAATAGTTTCCGGTCAAAATCACCACCAGTTTTTCCTGCTACAGTGCAAAATTGTCACATAAATAATGTTACAGGTCTTAGGTGAAATCTACATTGAGCTCTGGCTGTTGTGTTAATATTTCTGTACAATCCTTCAACGTGCATCTTGGGATTTGTTTTTTTGTTTTTTGTAGCAACAGAACAATGATGACCCTGAAACCCCAATTTACAAGTTCAGAGTTAAACTTAATCACACATGCTTTGCTGAATGACAGTGAAGCTTTTTAAAATGAGTAATTTCACATCACTGCTCTTCTTGATACTGCAGAAGGCAAATCATCACAGCACATTTGGTGTCTTTGGTGTCCTCATAATGCATTCCTCTTTCCAGACAGTCACGGTAGCTGCTTGACTAATGATGCTTGTTAGCTTTGTTTTGCATTTGCCTGTGAGACAGTTCCACCGAAGCAGGCTGTGACACTGAAACTGCAACATGATGGAGACTTTTCTCATGCAAATCCATATATTTCTCTGCAGATGAGGAAGGAAAAATAAAAACTGCTTTTGAAATTGGTTTATAAAGGTCTGAACTGAGACTTGATGAAACTCCTGCTGTGGCTTTTCAGGATTTTAATCCCAAAAAAACAGTTGCTATGTCATTAGTCTATTTGACAATAATGCATGATTAGACAGATCTAAAGTAATTATACATAATATTTGTTTAGATTACAATTATATATATATATAAGAAATATATATACCAGATGACTAGGGATAAATTGATTGAAGTTTTTCAAGCAAAAACAAAAACAAAAAAACTTTAAAAAAAAAATAAAAATTCAAAGCAACCAAAACTGAAATGTGCAACACAAGCAAAAAAAAGGATCATTAAAAATAAAATAAAATANTTTTGTGTGTTTGATAAAGTCTCGGTATTACAGTGATCAGTTCCAACATGCTTAAATATGTGCTGAAAACAAAACAAAATGCAAGCTGGAAACCTTAACGCACTTTTCCATTCAACAGTTGGTGTAACTTGAACTGCTGATATTGTTTTTACAATCAGCTGGAAAGATCCCATAGACAAAGTAAATGTAGATAACAGCATCTGAGAATGCTGGTATTTCCATTAACTTAACATAATCATGGAGTTTGTGTGTATAATTTGACAGTTTGTTGTTTTTTTTTCCTGCTTTACAGAAACACCTGCAGCACCAACCGTGTTCCCTTTGGTTCTGTCTTGTTCTGCGACCGGCGATAAAGTCACTCTTGGCTGTCTCGCGCGTGACTTCTACCCACAGAGTCTTACTTTTCAATGGAACGATGCCAGCGGGAACAAACTGGTTTCTCAGCAATATCCTTCAGTGCAGACTAATAAAAAATACGCAGGAGTCAGTTTGATCCAAGTGTCCAGATCCGACGGGGATTCATTGTCCTACCAGTGTTCTGTGACTCATCCTGGAGGAAACAAGAATGTGAATGTTAAAAGTATGGGATTTTTAGCTTTCTTTTAGATCTCTCTTTTGCCTTTATTTTATTTTTTTGTTAGTTTTTTTCTATTTTTTGCAACAAAACCTGAAAAAGCCTTGCCTCAGAGGTCCCCCTCTTCTTGTGTAATTCTCTATTATTTCACCAAAACGTCTCGTCTTGTCTGAACCATCAGAGGAGCACGGTGACAGTTAAAGCTAATAAATCTGTGCGTCTCTACATTTTTTTTTCAGGGGCCTCTTTTCCTCCGAAGGTAGCTTTGCTGTCAGTGCCGAATGGAGATGAGCAGGCACTGGTGTGCATGATTGAGGATTTCTTCCCTGAAAGTTCGTCGATCAAGTGGGAAAAAAATGGCAGTGAGGTGAACGGGTATAACGAATGGCTCCCTAATGAATCACATTCAGCTGTTAGTATCTTAAAGGTCAAGAACAGCGAATGGGACAGTAAAGCAGTTTACACATGTGAGGTGACTCACTCTGGGACAATATATATGAAGAAGGCCTCAAAAGGTGACGTTCTATTATGATTACTACTAAATACTGCTAGACATTCTGGTGTTTTTTTCCGATTCGAAATATTAAAATGTCGTTCCTGTCCCTCGTGTAGCTCCCATCACAGTGACACTCAACCCTCCGAGTGCCAACAAAATATTCAACAACAACCAGGCGGAGTTGGAGTGTGTTGTCGCCGGACAAGATGAGGCCATCGTGAGTGAAACCAAAATCTTCTGGCAGATTAATGGGGAACACGTGAGCGATGACATCAAGGAAACAGCTCACTCTGAGGGCAATCAGTACAATAAAACCAGCACACTGACTCTTAGTCGCACTGACTGGGCCAGAGTCAGGAAAGTGAGGTGTTCTGCCATTAGAGAAGATGTGACACCAGTGATTCAAGATCTGACTGTCCACAAAGGAGGTATGTACTAATAGATTGTGGACAAATTCAATAATGGCAGCCTATATATCAGCTTAAGCTTAAACTTCCCTTTCTTTTAGACGGGACAGAGCCAAAGGTGACAGTTCACATCCTCCCCGAGGAGGACATCGGACAAGAAGTCACTCTGGTGTGTCTGGTCTCCAGCTCCACACTGCAGGATTACTACATCGCCTGGTCAGAAGACAAAGGACAAAACACTGGAGTCTTTACCGATGGCGTCAACTTCCCCCCACAGAAGACCGAAAACGGCTACTCAGTGACAAGTCTGTACACCACCACCAAGGAGAAGTGGAACGGTGACTACAAGATCAACTGCAACGTCTGGTCTGCGGGTCGTGATAAACCTATGAAACCTCGAGGAGTGTCCAAGGCCATGGGTAACCAGACTGAATGTTAAACAGCGTTGGTTCAGCTTTTGACTGTGGTGTTTTGTGCAAATGTGTCCCTCTGTCTCTGTGAAAACGGCATCAGTCTTTGTGTACGTTCAAGTCACAGTGTCATTTTGTTTCGTCGGTAGTTGTGGAGATTTCTTGAATGTGTGTCATCACGCTGTCTTACATCCTGTTCTAAATAAATGTTGCATAAAGATCCAGTGTTGCATGTTTGTTTATGAGCAGTCGGAGCAAAGCCGGCAAATGTTTGGCGAAGGTTTCACATGAATCTGTCTTTTGTAATGTTGGTGGTGGGTTGTGCAATGTGGCTCTAAACAGTGAAAAGGTGCTACAGAAAGGGATTAGAACGGGAGGAAACTGCAGAAGCTGTAAAGAAAGCACAAAGGATCGCATTGTAGCTTTCAGTGACGCCTCTCGGTACTGTGTGGATAAACTTTCATACATGTCACATGGGGCTGCAAGGTGGCGCAGTTGGTAGCACTGTTGCCTCGCAGCAAGAAGGTTGCCGGTTCGCGTGGAGTTTGCATGTTCTCCCCGTGCAGC